GATGACACCTTACCCGGAGAATCTGACACCTTAACCTGGAAGCTTGATGCCTGACCAGAGAGCTTGACACCTTAACCTGGAAGCTTGATGCCTGACCAAGAGAGCTTGACACCTTAACCTGGAAGCTTGATGCCTGACCAAGAGAGCTTGACACCTTAACCTGGAAAATTGACGCCTGACCAAGAGAGCTTGACACCTTAGCCTGGAAGCTTGACGCCTGACCAGGAGAGCTTGACACCTTAACCTGGAAGCACTATAACGAAATGACGACACATACCCATGAACGGATAATACATGACTCTGAAAGGATAACACCCACCCCTGAAAGGATGACACCTACCCCTTAAAGGATGACACCCATCCCTGAAAGGATGACACCACCCCTTAAAGGATGACACCCACCCCTAAAAAGATGACATAATCCCTGAAAGGATGACACCCACCCCTGAAAGGATGACGCCCTCCCCTGAAAGGATGACACTCATCCCTAAAAGGATGACACAATCCCTGAAAGGATGACACCCACCTTTGAAAGAATGACACCCTCCCCTGAAAGGATGACACCCTCCCCTGAAAGGATGACACCCACCCCTGAAAGGATGACACCCACCCCTGAAAGGATGACACCCTCCCCTGAAAGGATAACACCCACCCCTGAAAGGATGACACCCACCCCTGAAAGGATGACACTGATCAATGAAAGAATGACACCCTCCCCTGAAAGGATGACATCCACCCCTGAAAGGATGACACAATCCCTGAAAGGATGACACTCATACATGAAAGAATAACACCCACCCGTGAAAGGATGACACCCACCCCTGAAAGGATAACACAGTCCCTGAAAGGATGACACTCACACCTGAAAGAATGACACCCACCCGTGAAAGGATGTCACCCACCCCTGAAAGGATGACACCCACCCCTGAAAGGATGACACAATTCCTGAAAGGATGACACCCACCCCTGAAAGGATGACGCCCTCCCCTGAAAGGATGACACCCTCCCATGAAAGGATGACACCCACCCCTGAAAGGATGACACAGTCCCTAAAAGGATGACACCCACCCCTGAAAGAATGACACCCTCCCCTGAAAGGATGACACCCACCCCTGAAAGGATGACACCCACCCATGAAAGGATGACACCCTCCCCTGAAAGGATAACACCCACCCCTGAAAGGATGACACCCACCCCTGAAAGGATGGCACCCACCCCTGAAATGATGACACACTCCCCTGAAAGGATGACACCCACCCCTGAAAGGATGACACAATCCCTGAAAGGATGGCACTCACAACTGAAAGAATGACACCCACCCGTGAAAGGATGACACAATCCCTGAAAGGATGGCACTCACAACTGAAAGAAAGACACCCACCCGTGAAAGGATGACACCCACCCCAGAAAGGATCACACCCACCCCTGAAAGGATGACACTCACACCTGAAAGAATGACAAAATCCCTGAAAGGATGGCACCTTCCCCTGAAACGATGACACCCTCCCCTGAAAGGATGACACCCACCCCTGAAAGGATGTCACCCACCCCTGAAAGGATAACACCCACCCCTGAAAGGATGACACCCACCCCTGAAAGGATCACACCCACCCCTGAAAGGATCACACCCACCCCTGAAAGGATCACACCCGCCCCTGAAAGGATTACACCCACCCCTGAAAGGATCACACCCACCCCTGTAAGGCTGACACCCACCCCTGAAAAGATCACACCCACCCCTGAAAGGATAACACCCACACTTGAAAGGATGACACCCACCCCTGAAAGGATGACACCCACCCCTGAAAGGATAACACCCTCCCCTGATTGGATGACACCCACCCCTGAAAGGATAACACCCACCCCTGATAGGATGACACCCACCCTGAAAGGATGACACCCACCCCTGAAAGGCCACCCACCCCTGAAAGGATGACACCCACCCCTGAAAGGATGACACCCACCCCTGAAAGAATGACACCCACCCCTGAAAGGATGACACCAACCCCTGACAGGATAACACCCACCCCTGATAGGATGACACCCACCCCTGAAAGGATAACACCCACCCCTGAAAGGATAACACCCATCCCTGATAGGATAACACCCACCCCTGAAAGGATGACACCCACCCCTGAAAGGATCACACCCACCCTGAAAGGATGACACCAACCCCTGACAGGATAACACCCACCCCTGATAGGATAACACCCACCCCTGAAAGGATGACACCCGCCCTGAAAGGATTACACCCACCCCTGAAAGGATCACACCCACCCCTGTAAGGCTGACACCCACCCCTGAAAAGATGACACCCACCCCTGAAAGGATGACACCCACCCCTGAAAGGATGACACCCACTCTTGAAAGGATGACACCTACCCCTGAAAGAATGACACCCACCCCTGAAAGGATGACACCCACCCCTGACAGGATAACACCCACCCCTGAAAGGATGACACCCACCCCTGACAGGATAACACCCTCCCCTGAAAGGATGACACCCACCCCTGACAGGATAACACCCTCCCCTGAAAGGATGACACCCACCCCTGACAGGATAACACCCTCCCCTGAAAGGATGACACCCACCCCTGACAGGATAACACCCTCCCCTGAAAGAATGACACCCACCCCTGAAAGGATGACACCCACCCCTGACAGGATAACACCCTCCCCTGAAAATATTCTCATTCTCTTCAAATCTTATCATCTGCTCAGTTTATCATCATTTAACTGGTAACACTGATCTGACCTTCAGGTTTCTACCACAGATATAACCATATATGTCTATTATCTCTCTTATTTCGTCTACCATAGAAACTTAACTTGCTGAATATTACCTTAAGTGCTAAATATTACTTTAAATGGTAAATATTACCTTAAGTGGTAAATATTACCTTAAGTGCTAAATATTACCTTAAGTGCTAAATATTACCTTAAGTGCTAAATATTACCTTAAGTGCTAAATATTACATTAAGTGGTAAATATTACCTTAAGTGGTAAATATTACTTTAAATGGTAAATATTACATTAAGTGGTAAATATTACCTTAAGTGCTAAATATTACCTTAAGTGCTAAATATTACCTTAAGTGGTAAATATTACCTTAATTGGTAAATATTACCTTAAGTGCTAAATATTACATTAAGTGGTAAATATTACCTTAAGTGGTAAATATTACCTTAAGTGCTAAATATTACATTAAGTGGTAAATATTACCTTAAGTGGTAAATATTACCTTAAGTGCTAAATATTACCTTAAGTGGTAAATATTACCTTAAGTGGTAAATATTACCTTAAGTGCTAAATATTACATTAAGTGGTAAATATTACCTTAAGTGGTAAATATTACCTTAAGTGGTAAATATTACCTTAAGTGGTAAATATTACTTTAAATGGTAAATATTACCTTAAGTGGTAAATATTACCTTAAGTGGTAAATATTACCTTAAGTGGTAAATATTACTTTAAATGGTAAATATTACCTTAAGTGGTAAATATTACCTTAAGTGGTAAATATTACTTTAAATGGTAAATATTACCTTAAGTGGTAAATATTACCTTAAGTGGTAAATATTACCTTAAGTGCTAAATATTACCTTAAGTGGTAAATACTACCTTAAGTGGTAAATACTACCTTAAGTGGTAAGTACTACCTTAAGTGGTAAATACTACCTTAAGTGGTAAATACTACCTTAAGTGGTAAATACTACCTTAAGTGGTAAATACTACCTTAAGTGGTAAATACTACCTTAAGTGGTAAATACTACCTTAAGTGGTAAATACTACCTTAAGTGGTAAGTACTACCTTAAGTGGTAAATACTACCTTAAGTGGTAAATACTACCTTAAGTGGTAAATACTACCTTAAGTGGTAAATACTAGAGTGTTAAGTGTTCATTATACTTTATGACCTCAAATATTTTCTTATCAACAAAGTACCTCGTCATGCAGAGTATATTGTCTTCAAGACAATTATTAAGACAATTATTAAGACAATTATTAAGGATTAACAACATTTTTATTTTCTTAGTACTCAAATGAAGCTCATTGTTATTATTATTATTATTATTATTATTATTATTATTATTATTATTATTATTTTCTTAATATTATTATTATTTTCTTCTTCCTCTTCTTCTTCTTCCTCTTCTTCTTCTTCTTCTTCTTCTTCTTCTTCTTCTTCTTCTTCTTCTTCTTTCTTCTTCTTCTTCTTCCTCTTCTTGTTCTTCTTTTTATTATTATTATTTTCTTAATATTATTATTATTTTCTTCTTCCTCTTCCTCTTCTTCCTCTTCTTCTTCTTGTTCTTCTTCTTCTTATTCTTATTCTTCTTCTTCTTTCTCTTGTTGTTCTTCTTCTTCTTGTTCTTCTTTTTCTTCTTCTTCTCATTATTATTATTATTATTATTATTATTATTATTATTATTATTTTTATTATTATTATTATTATTATTATTATCGTTGTTGTTGTTGTTGTTGTTGTTGTTGTTGTTGGTGGTGGTGGTGGTGTGTGTTGTTGTTGGTGTTATTATTTTCATTTAAATTATTAATATTGTTATTGGAACCTGTTATTTTATTTCAAAAAAAAATAACAGTAACTCACTTAAAGTAATTTGTTGATAACTTATTTTTTAATAAAAAATGTAATTTAGTGTTATGTGTTCAGTGTTCAGTGTTATCAATGTTATCAAGTCTCTATTTTGGACGCATTTAATTATAATATTTGGAAGTGTTTTGTTTGTAAGGAGAAACAGGAAATAAATATTTAAGAGATACACCTTGGGAGTCGTAGAGGACTCGGGGGGAAGGAACGTAATGAGTTTTGATCCGAGGAAGGGAAGAGCAGCTCCAGTTCTTGTAACCGAGAGTTCTTCATCAGTATCTAGGCAGCCAGCTGGAAGAGCACTCCATTAACTGTTGGTTACTGATACAACAGATATACTTAGTGTTGTGATACCATAGACGGCAATAATTGTATGTATTCTCCGTTGCAGAACATTGCGTTAATCTGCTGCGTCGTGGGCGCTGTGTTCTCCTTCGTGTTCCACGCTGGTGTGACGGAGCCCACCTTCGTGTCCCACAAGACCAAGACGAAGCTCGCTCTCGAGAAGAACCAAACGAGCAACAAGGCCATGAAGAAGATTGACTGGTTCAAGGAGCTGCCCTTCTACCAGGTCGCTCTTCTCTACATGGCTACTCGTCTCTACGTTAATCTCTACCAGGTATGTCAAACCCTGAGCTGATTCCCTCTACCCAGTTTTGGTTGTTTCCATTAGATTACGTTACATTTAATATGTTGAAGATATACTACCTTTTACGAGTTTCGAAAGTTTTTCTACTCCCAGGGCCCAGCCATGGGCTAGGCTCCACTGGCGCTTGCCTGGTCAATCAGGTTGTTTCTACTGATTCTGGAAGTCTTTACCCCCTTCGACAAGGTTCTATAACAGGACACCTAGTTGACAGATAAGAGTCCTGTTATAGCCTAGTATTATCTAGTATTTGTTTTGTAATGCAGTATTCCAGGCAGCAGGTCCTTTTGTGCGTGCAACAGGCATGTCAACTGGCTTCTCAAGTCTGTAAGGTTTGTGTAAATGTCAGAAATAAAATTTTAAGGTTAAACTAATTGTTTTGTAGAGATTGTGAAAAATTATTTGGAACTAACTCTTGGTATCGAGATAATGATCTTAACATATACTGTTCTTTTAAGATCTACATCATTTGTCAGTCGTCGTGTGTTTGAACCTCCTGAGTGCACGGGCACTGCCGGATTTTCATTGTGTGAAAAAAAGCTCTTTCTTCTTCTTACCCACAATCCCCTGACTGGAAAGTTGTTCCTTTCATACGAGAAAGTTTTTAACTTCTAGTCAGCATCTTGGCTTTTCCTGTGTAGTCACACTTGCAGCTACCAAGCAGTGCAGCAACCCTTATTTTCTTCTTTAATGACTTGTGCCATACGGACGAAGACCCATGGAACTTCAACAAGTTGAACCCCTCTCACTACTCCTTCCCCTCCATTACCCACTCCCTCCACTCCCCACTCCTCACTCCCTCCACTTGCCACTCGCTTCACTCCCCACTCCCTCGTCATCCCTTCCAAGACGCACACATCCTTAAAGTACTCTTCCTCCCTTTCCCAGGACACGCTCCTTCTAGCAAATAATGAAAATGATTGTTATAGGAATGCAGTTAGAAGCCTGAGTAGATCTATAACCCACTATGATAACATGAACATAGATAAGTATGTTTATGGAGCAACTTGCAATGTGAACAGACTGACTGATGTTGTAGTGGCCAGGCTTAGGCTTGGTTACAAGTACTTCTGGCAGTTTGGGAGACACACAGATGATGGTCAAACTAAATATAAATTATGTGTTCAGGCATATGGTCACTGTCTTGAACTCTATGTGCTTAATTGTCCACTTATTGAGGAATACAGAGATAGACAGTATAATAACCTATGTGACATGTTAAGATATCTTATTAATGAAAATGAGATACCAGATATACTAAGCAAATTTCCTAAATTTGCTTGTAACAGATAAGTGAACTATAGATATGTAAATATAAATCCCTATGTATTCATGTTAACCCTTTGGGGCCTAGTTCTTGGGCCTTTTGTGTATCCATATGCTCTTGCGCTACCGTCCACAGGATGGATATGGGGCGCACAATAAACTAGCCACTTCGGTGGCAAAATCTAAATCCTTCCCCCTCCCCTCTCATACCGACACACGCTCCTTCCCCCTCCCTTCTCATACCAACACACGCTTCTTCCCCCTCCCCTCTCATACCGACACACACTCTTTCCCCTTCTCCTCTCATACCAACACACGCTCCTTTCCCCTCCCCTCTCATACCGACACACGCTCCTTCGCCTTCCCCTCTCATACCAACACACGCTCCTTCCCCTTCTCCTCTCATACCAACACACGCTCCTTCCCCTTCCCCTCTCATCCCAGGACACGTTCCTTCCCCCTCCCCTCTACTCCCAGGACACACCGACTTCGAAAATCTCACCTGGACCTCACAACCCCCGGCCCTGGAACTCAACGTCTGGCCTTGGATTTCATCCTCCGACATTGGGCCTCAAAACCTCCGGCCTTGGACCTCAACCTCTGGCCCTGGATATCATCCTCCGGCCCTGGACCTCACAACCTCCGGCCCTGAACCTCAACCTCTGGCCTGGATATCATCCTCCGGCCCTGGACCTCACAATCTCCGGCCCTGGACCTCACAACCTCCGGCCTTGGACCTCACAACCCCCGTCCCTGGACCTTAACCTCTGGCCCTGGATATCATCCTCCGGCCCTGGACCTCACAACCTCCGGCCCTGGACCTCACAACCTCCGGCCCTGGACCTCACAACCTCCGGCCCTGGACCTCACAACCTCCGGCCCTGGACCTCACAACCTCCGGCCCTGGACTCCATCCCACTAGAACAAGTGTGTGCTCTCCATCAAGTTGTAGTTTCCTTCTCACTTTTGTGCACCTGCATCTTTTTGTCTCCGGCTCACCTGGTGCACTCCTTTAGTCTCCTACCTGGTGCACCACTCTAGTTTCGTCGTCACCTGGTGCACCACTCTAGTGTCGTCGTCACCTGGTGCACCACTCTAGTGTCGTCGTCACCTGGTGCACTCCTCTAGTGTAGTTCTCACCTGGCGCACTCTAGTGCCGTCCTCACTTGGTGCACCACTCAAGTGTCGTCGTCACCTGGTGCGCTCCTCTAGTGTCGTCCTCACCTGCTGCACTCTAGTGCAGTCTTAGCCTGGCGCACTCCTCTAGTGTCGTCTTCACCTGGCGCACTCTAGTGTCGTCCTCACTTGCTGCACTCCTCTAGTGTCGTCCTCACCTGATGCACTCCTCTAGTGTCGTCCTCGCTTGCTGCACTCTAGTGTCGTCCTCACCTGGCGCACTCCTCTAGTGTCGTCCTCACATGGTGCACTCTAATGCCGTCCTCACCTAGTGCACTCCTCTAGTGCCACCTCAACACACCCGTAGCTCAGTGGCCACCGTGGTGAGCCCGCAACCACCACTACCACGACAAGCACAACCACCACCTGCTGAAGTCTCCCGGGTCAGGCTGACACATTACTTTATGTATTAAACATATCCTGGGTAATAGGTGTCATATATCAGAGCACTCTGGTAGTAGGTGTCATATATCAGAGCACTCTGGTAGTAGGTGTCATATATCAGAGCACTCTGGTAGTAGGTGTCATATATCAGAGCACTCTGGTAGTAGGTGTCATATATCAGAGCACTCTGGTAGTAGGTGTCATATATCAGAGCACTCTGGTAGTAGGTGTCATAGCAGAGCACATCTGGTAGTAGGTGTCATATAGCAGAGCACTCTGGTAGTAGGTGTCATATAGCAGAGCACTCTGGTAGTAGGTGTCATATAGCAGAGCACTCTGGTAGTAGGTGTCATATAGCAGAGCACTCTGGTAATAGGTGTCATATATCAGAGCACTCTGGTAGTATGCACATCCTGTGTGGAGTATTGCAGAGGAAATACAGGTTATGTTGTGTTTACCACAATGCACCTAGCTTTTCTCTATCCCCTCTATCCTCTATCTCTAGCATGATCCCTCAGTGAGCTTACTAACGTGGGAGACATGGTAGACGGTACAAAACACCCACTTTGTAAAGCAGATGTGCCATATCAACACTAAAAGCTATTTCATTGAACAAACCAGGTCTACCTTGCGCACCTGTTGATGGTTCTGGGAATTCTCTCTCCCTCGCACACCAAATTCACACCGCGTCTCCTTGATCGCTTGATCATTTAAACTGTTAGTACTTGCAGCACGCAGTCCGACGTAAACACTACGCCTGGCTGATTAGGAATGATATGAAGCAAATTCTAAAGGTACCGGCCAAATACCTGCGACCAGTTTCAAAAGTCTTCCTACTTTCACAGCCCAACCTGTGGATCAGGTAGGTAGGTAAACTAGGCTACTACTGCTGGTGGTACACATGTCCACTACCATTACAGCCTGGTTGATCTGACACTTGGCGGAGTTAGAGATCCAGTTTCATCTTGAAGACTTCTAAAGATGTTCCAACAATGTTTCTGGTGGCCTGGTGGTTAACGCTCTCGCTTCACACGGTGAGGGCCTGGGTTCGATTCCCAGCCAGAGTAGAAACATTGGACGTGTTTCTTTCCACCTGTTGTCTATGTTCCCCATCAGTAAAATGGGTACCTGGGTGTTAGTCGACTGGTGTGGGTCGCATCCTGGGACACTGACCTAAGGAGGCCTGGTCACAGACCGGGCCGCGGGGGCGTTGACCCCCGGAACTCTCTCCAGATAAACCTCCAGATCCAGATACCTGTTGGCAGTAGGTGGGTCTCCCTAGGTGTATACTGCTGGTCTTGCTGAAGGAACAGCCTCACCGATTTATATGAGCTGTGAAAGTTTGCTGTAATTTCTCCATGTGTGGAGTTTACCCTGGCTGGGAAGAAAGGTTGTTATTGAACAGTAATATTCACGTGTAATAAGTATAAGTGTCTTGAAGAGTACCATCACTGGAATGCCATCCGTTTGTTCTGGAGTTTCTACTTAAGCTGTCTGTCATTTTTCTTGCAACAGTAAGGAACACCACTCTCTTAAAGAAGGAATTTAACAAGTGCCTATAAAAAGCAGCAGCAGAAACACCTGCAACTGCTACTGTATTTTCTTGTTTTTACTGCTGCTATTGCTGGTGTAACCAGTGTGCAACTAGCGCCCTCTCACTATCACTTGCAAAAGGTTGCAACAGGTGCACGAAAACAATTTAATGACAACCTAAGGGATAAATAACATAATTAAAGATCCGAGCCAATTAGGAATGTGTCACCAGGCAGATATGCGCTGCATATCAAGACCAATAATAAAACAGTGCGAAGCTTGAATGCTGGTGTTGTGTATCAACTTTGGGAAACACATGTCAGCCTTTACAGGTCACCCAAGGTTAAGTGATATTTGTGGTTTACTAGTCCAAGGCATCATAACGATAGTCCCTACACTCATGTACAGTTCAACTATCTGAAGTCGAATCCTTAACAAGTCTTACATTTTTCTTTGTATATAATATATATATATATATATTATATATTATATTATATATATAATATATATATATATATATATATATATATATATATATATATATATATATATATATATATATATATATATATATATATATATATACTATATATATATATATATAATATATATATTATATATATAATTTGATATATTATAATTTATATATATATATATATAACGGCTTCAGGAAGAAATCCAAATATTCCTCCTTGAAGCCTTTTTATCCACTTCTCCGAGGCTATGGGTCCCACAATTTACACCAGTGTGACCCATACCTATATATATATATATATATATATATATATATATATATATATATATATATATATATATATATATATATATATATATATATATATATATATATATACCCTAGGTAGTAGGTTGGTAGACAGCAACCACCCAGGGAGGTACTACCGTCCTGCCAAGTGAGTGTAAAACGAAAGCCTGTAATTGTTTTACGTGATGGTAGGATTGCTGGTGTCCTTTTTTCTGTCTCATAAATATGCAAGATTTCAGGTACGTCTTGCTACTTCTACTTACACTTAGGTCACACTACACATACATGTACAAGCATGTATATACACACCCCTGTGGGTTTTCTTCTATTTTCGTTCTAGTTCTTGTTCTTGTTTATTTCCTCTTATCTCCATGGGGAAGTGGAACAGAATTCTTCCTCCGTAAGCCATACGTATCGTAAGAGGCGACTAAAATGCCGGGAGCAAGGGGCTAGTAACCCCTTCTCCTGTATATATTACTAAATGTAAAAGGAGAAACTTCCGTTTTTCCTTTTGGGCCACCCCGCCTCGGTGGGATACTGCCGGTGCGTTGAAAGAAAGAAATATGTATATATATATCAATGAAACCACGAAACAAGTGGTTTTGAATCATTTACCAAACTGGGGCAGGCCAGGGCTCGACCCCACGACACACTCTCCCGCCTCAAGAGACAACACAACGTACATGTCACCTTATCCACTCAGCCATCGATCCTACAAAGATCAAGCACCCAGCACACACACACACACACACACACACACACACCTCTAACCATTCTCATATCGCATCAAATACCGCACTACAACTCCAGGCAAGTGACGAACCTAACTCCATTTCCTTGAATAAAAACCCTCCACACATTTAATACACATTTTTTTTTGTTAAACATTACAGAGTTAAAACTCTTATATTCTAAAAATTCTTACAAATAATATTTTTCAAAGAATATCCAATATTTTCATTAAAATATTCTTTGGATACCTCCTGTTTTTATTAACTTCATAGAATACTAGATATTTCACTGAAATATTAATAGAATATCTCATATATTCATTAACTTCATAGACTTAAGTGATTTAAGTGATTCCCTCCACATTATAGTAGATTATAATGTTTTCAGCCCTGGGAAGTGCGGTGTGAAGGAGGCTCGAGGTAGTAAAATAGTCTTGTTGGAGGGCCATGTGAGTTCTGAATATTATACACAGAATTCAGAGCATGCTGAAACATTTGGGTATCTTTGTTCTGGATTGAGACATTTATACAGCATATGGGAATCTTTATTCAGGAAACGTTTCGCCACACAGTGGCTTAATCAGTCCAATACAAAGAGGAATGCGTAAGGAGAGGAGGAGTATGAGGTAATCAGTCCCTCAGTCCTCAGGCTGAGGGACTGATTACCTCATACTCCTCCTCTCCTTACGCATTCCTCTTTGTATTGGACTGATGAAGCCACTGTGTGGCGAAACGTTTCCTGAATAAAGATTCCCATATGCTGTATAAGTGTCTCAATCTTCAACTTGTCGGTTTTTCAAACCATTCATCACATCTTTGTTCGAGAAACGTTTCGCCACGCAATAGCTTCTTCAGTCCAATGCAGAGAAACGTGGAAGATGAGGAGGTGGTCTGAATGACCTCGAGTGAATAATCTAGGTGGGAGGATTGAGGCAGCAGACTTGTGTGTACACACTGAACGACTGGGAATAAGAGATTGTTAGGAATCACTGTACCTCTCCTCTGGAGGGATGTTGCTGTACTGTACTAAGAGGTCATTTGAATTTTGATGTCTATACACTTTTGGCAAGACAGTTATTAAATGAAAGATGGTCTTTTTTTTTGGGGGGGGGCTACCCCCTACCTTCGTGACTGCACGTCACTTGTTCATCACCTTCCTTACAAAGAAGAGAACGGAACTTACGTGATTTTATTAATGGAGAAATTAGCTATTTGTCTGATCGTCCCACTCATGGAAAATCTGCACGATTAATTTGTTTTCCTGTCCCCAGGTGTACATCCCGTTGTACGTGCAGGACACACTACTGCTGAGCGAGACCTTCGTTGCTACCGTGCCCTTCGCTATGTACCTGGCTGGCTTCGTGGGCTCCCTCATAATGAAGGAGATCAATAAGAAGATAGGAAGGAAGGTGAGGTCACTTGTATCGCTGTTTTATGAATAAATAATAGTTTTAATCATAATATTTTTATTTCTACCAGTACATGTATAAGGTATACAGGTCTAGCTGACATCAATGACATACTACTATATAGGAAGCCCCTTGTTATGCACAGCATTTCAGGCAAATTAGGTTAATTTTATCCCAGGATGCGACCCACACCAGTCGACTAACACTCAGGTACCCATTTTACTGATTGGTAAATATGAACAACAGGTGTAAGGAAACATTCCCAATGCTTTCACTCTGGCCGGGATTCGAACCCGGACCCTTCTCGTGTGAAGCAAGTTTGTGTTACATATAAGGTCACACTGTGTAGACCTTTACTATTCATGACTTGATGTAGGCCTATGATTCCAATCGACTGAAATCACAGTCCTAAATCAGGTGCCCCTCATCTTTACTAATGAGATATATATGTAAGTCATTCTTCCTTTAGTTTATTATCTGCCGAAAAGGACGTTAATTAATAGTCGAAATATTTTAATCATGTGGAAGCGCTAAACCTGTACGGATTAGTAAGTAAATAAGTAAGTTTATTCAGGTACAGGTACACATAAATACAGTTACATAAACTGTCACACACAGCAGCATATGTGTAGATTATCTAGGATAACCCCAAAAAAAGTCAGATCAAATAGCGACTGGGACGTGTAAGACATCAAATTCAATCCAAGGAAGGGAGGATAAGTCCAGTCTAATAATCAAGAACATTTTACAAGCATCAAGGTACCCACCTTGATGAAAATTACTCTAGTTTTTAAAGGAAAATAAATACTACAGCATTTAGAGTTTAAAAAGGGCACAATGGTACCTACAGACTCAATTAACAATACCAAACTTCTAGGTAAGAAATTTTGAAGTTCAGTAGAAGACTCTAAAGTTACAGCACTGAAATCAATTTTGGGAATGTTCTATATAAAATTTAGCAGAGGGCACCTACACTTGTCATTTAATTCTAACAACCTTCCCACTGGTCATAGTTCACAAGCAGTGGCGGCTTGTAGCTAAAATTAGTGGAGGTGCTACTTCAGAAAAATTTTACCTATTGTTTTAATATTGTGTAAAATAAAAGAACCAAAAAAACTATGAATTAAATAAAATAGCTGGAAGCAAGATAATCATCTAATTCTACACTTTATCACATTCAAGAATATGGTGCATGGTTTTTAAGCACAACACACGTCGCTGAGTCAAAAAGAAATACTACCTTACACTTGTACAACAGGGTCGGCCACTACCTACACTTGTACAACAGGGTCAGCCACTACCTTACACTTTCACAACAGGGTCGGCCACTACCTACACTTGCACAACAAGGTCAGCACTGTGTCAACGACAGTGCTGTCTCTACCTAGCATGCAGCGTATATACCTCGGATATATGCGCATGCGCACAACAGCCAAACACCGAGTCGCTGGAACTGTGAAGTGCACAGTTCCACACAAGGATTTTTGTATTTTTTTCATGTACTGGGGGATGGCTACTGACATTAAGCTTAAGGATTATATAATGTACAAGTATAATGAAAGAATTAAAGAAAAAAGACTCATTATATTGAATGTTTTCGATAATATCGAGTGAAAATACGGGGTGCTGCAGTTCCGCTGTGCCTATGCACGAGCCGCCACTCCCAAGGAAAATTGTCGTCAATCGAAAATTGGAAGTCAGTCAGATAAGCGTTCTGTAGTTATAAACCAGAGCCTTGGAGGAAGTTATTGCAACACAATACGTGAGCAAACACTAGGACATACTTATTAGAAAACGTTTCGGTCCTGGGATCACTTGATCACTTCAAAACTAGGCCAAGAGTTAGGTTAATCGAAATATATCCTATTTAGGTGTGAGGTTAAGCTGAAGCTGAAGTTCAAGATCAAGGTAAAGATTAATGTCTGTCAAGCTCATTTACGGAAGCTTTCTATATTCAAAAGATGCTATTTACTACTATGCTGCCACTTTGTATTGGTCTTTCAAAATACAGAATCTGCAGCCACTCTGCAATTGGATATCATAGGAAAATACAGAACGTTTTCAAATTACAATAGAATTCGTTCCTTGCTTTGCACGGAAAACGTAAAACACGGTGTTCAGTGCACACAGAATTATACAGCAATTCATTTGTTGTCAATTTGATTACTAAATTTTTATTTAGGCTTTGCGTACATAACATAATTCTTATTTATGTTATAAAGCAAATTATATTTACACAGATTAAATCTACGTTATGAAGATTTAATCTAGGGTAACCCAGTAAATTCAGTGTGACCTATTTCCACTGTTATCTTTAAGTGCTTCATAGGAGAGACAGCCTCTTAACATCTGTGGGGAAACTCCACTTTGAAAATCACCACTAGAATTTATCCACGCAAGAGTTGGTACTGATTGGTTAAATTTCAGCTGAGAATAATAGGCTAGAGGGAGTAGAAGGAACGATCTTTGTAGATTATACCATCTACTTGTTTATGTGGTAAGGAATCTTGCAACATAACACTGAGAAGACCTTCCCTGGTTTGTTGCTGTCCAATCATGTTGAAGTGTTAATATTATTATTTTAATAACAAAATTAATAATAATAATTATCATCGTCATTTCTTGTTAATACGTCGGACGTCTCCCACCCAGGTAAGGCGACCAGAAAAAAGAAGAAACACTCCGTCACTGTCTTGCCAGAGGCACACTGACGTTGCAGCTCAGATGAGCCTGCAAACCGGAAAATCCCCACCCTTCCTTCAGATGCACTTCCCACTTCCAGGACCCAAGTCCGGCAAACCGGTTTTCCTGAATCTCTTCATTAAATAATTATTTAAAAATAATAGCAGTATTATAAAGTTAGAATATGGTGTCCGCAGGGAACATTCACCTTGGGCTGCTGTGTGGGTCTGACTGGCTGCCTGTGGGTCTGGTGCGGCAAGGGCGGGTACTTCAACCAGTGGGGAGTGTTCCTGGTGGCAGCGCTGCTGGGAATCGGAGGTTCCACCCTCCTTATTACTTCACTTTCCATCACTGCTGACCTTATCGGCGAGAACGTAGAGGGCGGAGCCTTCGTGTACGGCTTCATGAGTCTCGTCGATAAGATCTCCAATGGTATCATCATCATGGCCATTCAGAACTCCGACCCTGATGAGTGAGTACTGGCCGGGTGCTGGTGTTGCTGCTGATGAGTGAGTATTGGCCGGGTGCTGGTGTTGCTGCTGATGAGTGAGTACTGGCCGGGTGCTGGTGTTGCTGCTGATGAATGTGTACTGGCCGGGTGCTGGTGTTGCTGCTGATGAGTGAGTATTGGCCGGGTGCTGGTGTTGCTGCTGATGAGTGAGTACTGGCTGGGTGCTGGTGTTGCTGCTGATGAGTGAGTACTGGCTGGGTGCTGGTGTTGCTGCTGATGAGTGAGTACTGGCCGGGTGCTGGTGTTGCTGCTGATGAGTGAGTACTGGCCGGGTGCTGGTGTTGCTGCTGATGAGTGAGTATTGGCCGGGTGCTGGTGTTGCTGCTGATGAGTGAGTACTGGCCGGGTGCTGGTGTTGCTGCTGATGAGTGAGTACTGGCCGCGGTGTGCTGTGATGTGATCTGCGTGCATGATGTGATAGTATTGGCCTGGTGCTGGTGTTGCTGCTGATGAGTGAGTATTGGCCTGGTGCTGGTGTTGCTGTTAGTGTTGCTGCTGATGAGTGAGTACTGGCCGGGTGCTGGTGTTGCTGTTATTGTTGCTGCTGATGAGTGAGTACTGGCCGGGTGCTGGTGTTGCTGCTGATGTGCATAAGTTTAGATATACGAAAGTATTATTTGGAAATAGAGTAGACAGTAAGTGGAACTGTCTTCCTAGTAGACTCACTGAAGCTAAAACCTTAGGTAGCTTCATATTATAGGTCAGATATATACATGAGTGAGAGGGGGTGGATCTGAGTGTGGCTAGCATATGAATTAATAGAGTTATCACAGCTTATTCCTTGGGCCAGTAGGCCTTATTCCTTGGGCCAGTAGGCCTTATTCCTTGGGCCAGTAGGCCTGCTGCAGTGTAATCCTTTCTTGTGTGTTGGAGACTGTGCTGAGTATTATCCGGGTGCCCAACCTCGGCTTTTTTTTTATTCTACGCTGTACTCTCAGCTTTCTTAATATTTATAAAGTTTTTCAAAGTCTCAAGCATCGTTTATATCCCACTGATGAAATTACTGGAGAATTTAGTAGATTACTGACAATTGTTCTTTGAGCCTCTGGTGATTTTTGACTACCACCCACAGGGTATGTAGGTATGTGGTAACTACCACCCACATGGTGGGTAGGTATGTGGTAACTACCACCCACATGGTGGGTAGGTATGGGATAACTACCGCCCACAGGGTGAGCGGGTATGGGGTAACTACCGCCCACAGAGTGGGTGGGTATTGGGTAACTACCGCCCACAGAGTGGGTGGGTATGGGGTAACTACCGCCACAGAGCGGGTGGGTATGGGTAACTACTACTCATAGGATGGATAGATATGGGGTGACTGCTGCCCACAGGATTGGTAGGAATGGGATGATTACCGCCCATGGGGTGGGTAGGAATGAGGTGTTAAATTCCACGTCTTGCTTGCCTTCAGGTCATGGTACTACCGCAGCGTCATCGCCTTCGCCTGCGGCTCCGCCTGCTTGCTGGGCATCCTCGTCATTATCAGTCTCAGGAAAGTCAAAGTTGGACAGAGAAAAGGTGAGAAACCTTTCTTACACTTGTTGGGTGTCTTTCTACTTTACGTAAGTTAATAATGTTTCACTGACTTTACATAACATAACGGCAGTGTTTTACTGACTTTACATAACATCAGTGTTTCACTGACTTTACATAACATAACGGCAGTGTTTCACTGACTTAACATAACATAACGCCAGTGTTTCACTGACTTTACATAACATAACATCAGTGTTTCACTGACTTTACATAACATAACGGCAGTGTTTCACTGACTTTACATAACATAACGGCAGTGTTTCACTGACTTTACATAACATAACGGCAGTGTTTCAGTGACTTAACATAACATCAGTGTTTCACTGACTTTACATAACATAACGGCAGTGTTTCAGTGACTTTACATCATGCATAACAATAACAGTGCAGTGTTTCACTGACTTTACATAACATAACGGCAGTGTTTCACTGACTTTACATAACATAACGGCAGTGTTTCAGACTTTACGTAACATAGCAGCAGTGTTTCACTGACTTATACAGAGAGGAAAACGGACGGGAACGCTATGCTATAACTTCGCTAAGCTATCTTTTACCCTCACTTGTCCTCACCTAAGCTATCTTTTACCATCGCTTGTCCTCACCTAAGCTATCTTTTACCATCGCTTGTCCTCACCTAAGCTATCTTTTACCATCGCTTGTCCTCACCTAAGCTATCTTTTACCCTCACTTGTCCTCACCTAAGCTATCTTTTACCCTCGCTTGTCCTCACCTAAGCTATCTTTTACCCTCACTTGTCCTCACCTAAGCTATCTTTTACCCTCACTTGTCCTCACCTAAGCTATCTTTTACCCTCACTTGTCCTCACCTAAGCTATCTTTTACCCTCGCTTGTCCTCACCTAAGCTATCCTTTCCTAACCTAAACTAAAATTATCTTTCCCTACCTAATATATATCCAGTTCTATGATGTAAATGAACAATTCAATTATGTTTAGCGCAACAACAACTATTAACAACTATTAACAACTATTAACAACTGATCTTTAATCATAGATTTACAAACTGACATTTTTTCTGAGCTCATTGCTCTAAAAAGTAACAATTAGTCTGCACTGATCTTATGGAACTGACAGTTGCATTGATCTTATGGAACTGACAGTTGCATTGATCTTATGGAACTGACAGCTGCACTGTTCTCATGCTCCTTAGAAAGTAACAACTTTTCTGAACTTACAGAATTACGAAATAACATCTGTTCTCCTTCCATAACTTTACAAAGTAAAAAGTTGTCAGCACTCATAACTTTACAAACTAACAACTGGCCTACTCTCGTAGTTCTCCAAGTTAACACTTGCTAACTCATAGTGTTATATTTGAGTCATATTTCCGGCCTATTCACAACAGTTTACATATATTTTTTTTTTTGCTGGACGACTGATGGTGCAAGGCAGCGACAGAGCTCCGCCTCGGTCAGGTCACGACATGTTCCTCCACTCACTGCAACATCTGGCTACTCTTCACACCAGAAGAATTTTTTTCTTTATTTCATACCAATCAAACGAAAACCTTTACACACTGTGGGTTGTAGGTCGCTATACCCGGCCACCACACTATGAATCTTTTTCTTCCCTAAGTTCATCTGTCTGGAGTGGACACCAGCCAAACCGTTTTTTTCACATCGGCATTGTAAACAGTTAACTTTGTTTTCTTTAATATCTTGCAACCTTCAATTTATTATAACAATATTGTTAATATGGAAATCGAGTAATTATCTGAACTCATGTTCCTAAACTTTATATTTGTTAAAACATCATCAAGCGATCGCTAAATTATTTTCATGTCTCTGTAAGTAGTTTGCTCTTCTTGTGTCTGCAGTAGTTCGTTTTTTCATCCATTCTTTATGTCGTTGTAGGAGCCTCGCAGGTGCTGGATATCTTAGCGGAGAGTGACGATTCCAGAAGCAGTGTAGAAGGCATTGACAATCCGGTCATATGTGTCATCTCAGAGGACAAGCTGAGCCCTGCAGTTGGAAGTCCCAAGGTGTGCCAGCTACGAGCCCAGGGCACTCGCACCTCGTGTCAGTGTGACATCTGTAGCTTATGTCATCAGGGAACACTCAACAGTATCTCCGGTTCAAACAATAATCACTACGCTGGCCATTTATCAGTGAATGATCTTTCAACATCCACGAATCATATTGATGATAATCTCGGTGTACCACAGCTCCCTACACACGACACCCCGAGCATGTGTCACCCGGGCGCCGCTGACGTCTTGAAAGTGTCTCATTCGAAAGTTGAAGAGTAGATGGTCCTGTGTTTGTGGTGGTACTGACAGTACCAGTGATCGATGCCCGTGTCTTGGTGCTATCTAGTACCTGAGTGTATTCAGGAATTTCTTTGCGAAATTTCTAGCTGCAGTAGTATAGAAACTGCTGTATTGTTTACAAACGCAATAACACATTACCCAATCACCAGTATGCATTATCTCGTGAGGTAATGTGTCTCCCATGTAACATCAGTCAGTATTTTTGTATTTATTACTATAGTTGCCCTTCAGATATAACCTTCTGAGGCGACTCACAACCTGGCCGAGTAGTTAACGCACTGGCCAATGAGTTTTAGGGTTCACTTGCCATGGGTTCAAGCCTCACCTGTTCCCTCATTGACTTTCTGATGTGTGTGTGTGGGGAGGGGGAAGGGAGATTACTTTCATCCGACAAGGTATGAGTGGGAGGGGCTGGGGGTGATGTCCCATCTCCCCACAAGATGTTCATCGTTGGAGAAGTGTATCACTCCTATCATAACACCATATCTACAGTGCGTGTGTGATAACCATTAGTGATAAAATACAGAAACTCGTGCTGCGTTTAGAGGAAGCATCAACAAAACAACTCAGTGTTGACAATCACTTTGTCACACCAAGCACTCGAATATGTTGAAGAATTTTGTCCTGGTGATCACCTTATAAGATCTCATAAATTAGCTATCGTCAGGTATGAATCAAAGTCTTTACTTACCGTATATGATTTCCTGTAAAGACGAAGAACCAACAGGCATGTGTATAAAGACACAATATTATGAATAAACTTTTATTGGGGCTTCGTTTCGCTCAATTTTCGCCCAAAGCTTGATGAAATAACAGTGTGTCACAGGTAGACAATAGACGATTGGTGTGAAGATTGTCTTTATAATCATGTCTACCAAAAAAAATTTTCATTATTTAATTTAGGACTTTTGGTCTTAAATTAAAGCTATACCTTGACTTAGCCCTAAATCAAAGTACAGCTTGAGCTGTACCTTGATGGTTCAAGTCGCACCTTGAAAAGTCAAGTTGTATCTTAAAGAATCAAATCGCACCTTGAAGGATCAAGTCTCACCTTGATGGCTCAACTTGCACCTTGAAGGATCAACTTACACTTAAAGGATCAGCTTGCACCTTGAAGGATCAACTTGCACCTTGAAGGATCAAGTTGCACCTTGATGGTTAAAGTTGTATCTTTATCTTCCCTAAATGATAAATAAATTGATTTATATAACTTGTATCAGCTATTCATTTTATGAGTTGTATCAACAAATTATGTGTTGATTTGTATTGTGTACTGATATGTATTTTTTGTATATATGTATGTGAGCTTACATGTATGATATATTTTATTATAATTATTTTATTTTATATGAAGGGCTAAACCCATGTGGGCCATTCAGCGCAACGAGTGGTGGAGGCTCGATCCTCCGTCTGTTAATTACTAGCTTGATACGCTACCTAACCATACCCACCTGTTGTGTGTGTGTGTGTGTGTGTGTGTGTGTGTGTGTGTGTGTGTGTGTGTGTGTGTGTGTGTGTGTGTGTGTGTGTGTGAGTGAAATTTTATATATTTGTGTATTTATTGAATATGACACATCAAAGGCAGTGTGAATCTCTTGTTACATCATCATCAAAGGTGTCCCAGGATGGCTGACAGGTGCAGGAGAGGACACTAGCTGCTGGTGTTGTTCCACATAATGGTAATTTGTTCAAAAGAATTGACGTTTGTTCCACAAGATGGTTGGCTGTCCTGCGGAGTAGCTGTTTGTTTGAGAATGTGGCAGTATATTATTATTTAATCCTATGAGCAGCAAGAGATAAACAACATCCTCGAGACGAAAGTACGATACCACCGTTTATGTGAACAGATATGAAGATGGAGGATACGCTCTTGTAGTGGAGAAGCAACGATACATGAGACGCTTGTGTGCCACAAGAAGCTAATGACTGAACACTGGATATAATGAATAATAGTCAAAATATCGTGGGCGGAACAGTTCACAAGCAATATTGATGAAAATTTCTAGGCCCTTCATGATTAAAGTTGGACAACCGAAGGAAAACATTGGATGATTATCAGTGAGTAATAAGAAAATATATAAGGATAAATAAGAGCTTTGTGGAACACCACAACTGATGGAGAAAGAGGGAGAACCTAAGTCATGTTCAACAACAAGCCGTGTTCAACAACAAGCTGTGTTCAACAACAAACCATGTTCAGCAACAAGCCATGTCAACAACAAGCCATGTCAACAACATGCTATATGCAACATCATGTCATGTTCAGTAAGTTATGTACAACAACAAGCCATGTTCGGCAAACCATTTACAATATGAAGCCATAGTCAACAAACCATGTCCAGCAACAAGCCATGTTCAACAAATCATGTATAAAAACAAGCCATGCGCAACAAGTCACGTATAGCAACAAGCCATATGCAATAACAAACCATGTGTAGCAACAAACCATGTACAACACGCCATGCTCAAGCATGCAATGAGTGGATACACAAGGATATGCAGTGGGAGAATGAAAGGGTGAGGTCAGTCTTTGTGTATGGGCCCCAGGAAGCTGAAGGGGAACATATGGAGCAAGAAAACAAGGGGTAAAAAAGCAATTGAAAGCATCATAAAAGCAATAGGAGAAGACGACATGACCCAGCTGGAAAATTTTTGGAGAATAGGGGGGTTTGCAAAAAAAAAAAAACCCGGCCAGTGAAAGTGACCTTCAAGGCAGAATCGACTCGGAACAGGATCCTGCAGGAGAAAGCACGATTAAGGAACATGCCGGCATACAGGAAGGTGATCCGACCGCGACAGAACACAAGAAAAAAGGGCAGAAACTGAAGAGATGGTACAAAGGCAAAAGGAGGAAAGAGAGGGGATGAGGAGACAGACGGGAGATCCCAGACCCGGGAAGAAGATCAAATACAGCCTCCCTCACAACTTCCTATAGAAGCCCCCCAACCAGGTCAACCCCAGTTGCAACCAAACACTCAAACCAAAACCCCCCATGCCATATCCAATGCCCCCACCCACTGCTTTACAAACTCCACCCCCACAGCAAACCACCCATAGTTCCTTATCAGGTCTCCCACATCCCCAACCCCAATATCCCTCCCAGACCACAGTCTTAGAAAAGAAGTTGAAGGTGTGGTATACAAATGCAGATGGAATAAACAAAAAAGTATGAGAGTGGCATGAAAGAATCAAGGAGACATCCCCAGACATAATATCACTCACAGAAACAAAACCACCAGAATAATAACAGATTCAATCTTTCCATCCGGATATCAAATCCTCAGGAAAGACAGAGGGAGGAGAGGGGGAGGAGGAGTCGCACTGCTCATTAAAAACCAGGGGTTTTTTGAGAAAATGGAAGGAATGAATGGCATGGGCGAAAGGGACTACTTAGTGGGAACAATCCAGTCTGAGGGACATAACGTGATAATTGCAGAAATGTACAAACCCACCACAGAACTGCAGGAGGCCAAGAGAAGAATACGATGAGAGCAACAGAGCAATGGTCGAAAACACTAGCCGAGGTGGCCAGGAGAGCACACAGGGGGGAGCAAAGTTACTAGTTATGGGTGATTTCAAACACAAGGAAATTGACTGGGAAAACCTGGAGCCCCATGGGGTCCCAAAACATGGAGAGCCAAGATGATGGATGTGGTACTGGAAAACCTCATGCATCAACATGTTAGAGACACTACCAGAGAGAGAGGAGAGGATGAACCAGCAAGACTGTGACCTTTGTATTCACCTTGAGTAGTTCGGACATCGAGGATATCATGCATGAAAGGCCCCGGGGAGCTAGTGATCATGTGGTTCTGTGCTTCGACTACATAGTTGAGCTTCAAGTGGAGAGAGTAGCGGGAAAATAGGTTGGGAAAACCCAAACTAAAAAAGGGGGGGAACTACTCGGGCATGAGGAACTTCCTGCAAGTCATCAGTGGGAGAGGGAACTGACAGGAATACCAGTACAAGAAATGATGGACTATGTGGCAACAAAATGCAAGAGGCAGAGAGAGGTTTGTTCTCCAAGGGAAGCAGAAATAATGGGAAGAACAGAACGAGTCCTTGGTTCACCAAAGGTGTAGGGAGGCAAAAACTAGGTGTACTAGAGAATGGAAAAGGTACAGAAGACAGAGAGCTCGGGAAAAAATAAAGAGTTTAGCCGAAGAGCCAGAAACGAAATATTGCGCAGATAAGAAGGGAGGCTCAGCGACAATATGAAAATGACATAGCATCGAAAGTAAAGACTGACCCGAAGCTGTTGTACAGCCACATCAGGAGAAAAACAACAGTCAAGGACCAGGTAATCAGACTGAGGAAGGGTGATGGGGAATTCACAAGAAACGACCGAGAGGTATGTCAGGAGCTCAACACGAGATTTAAAGAAGTATTTACAGTGGAAACCGGTAGGAGTCCAGGAAATCAGAACAGGGGGGTACACCAGCAAGTGCTGGATGAGGTACATATAACCAAGGAGGAGGTGAAGAAGCTGCTATGCGAACTTGACACCTCAAAGGCGGTGGGACCAGACAACATCTCTCCATTAACAAAGATCTTCAACACGTTAGTTGAAACTGGGCAACTCCCTGAGGTATGGAAGATGGCAAATGTAGTCCCAATTTTTAAAAAGGGAGACAGACATGAGGCACTAAACTACAGACCTGCATCACTAACGTGTATAGTATGCAAAGTCATTGAGAAGATCATCAGGAGGAGAGTGGTGGAGCACCTGGAAAGAAACAAGTGCATAATTGACAACCAGCACGGTTTCAGGGAAGGAAAATCCTGTGTTACAAACGGACTGGAGTTTTCTGACAAGGTGACAGAAGTAAGACAAGAGAGAGAGGGGTGGATCGACTGCATTTTTTGGGACTGCAAGAAGGCCTTCGACGCAGTTCCTCACAAGAGGTTACTGCAAAAGTTAGAGGATCAGGCACACATAACAGGAAAGGCACTGCAATGGATCAGAGAATACCTGACAGGGAGGCAACAACGAGTCATGGTACGTGACGAGGTGTCAGAGTGGGCGCCTGTGACAAGCGGGGTTCCACAGGGGTCAGTCCTAGGACCTGTGCTCTTCTTGGTATATGTGAATGACATAACGGAAGGGATAGACTCAGAAGTGTCCTTGTTTGCAGATGATGTGAAGTTAATGGCTACAAAGAGACCTGAACAGGCTACAAGCCTGGTCCAGCAACTGGCTCCTTGAGTTTAACCCTGCCAAATGCAAAGTCATGAAGATTGGGGAAGGGCAAAGAAGACCGCAGACACAATATAGTTTAGATGGCCAAAGACTGCAAACCTCACTCAAGGAAAAGTTCTGGGGATGATTATAACACCGAGCATAATCTCCTGAGGCGCACATCAATCAGATAACTGCTGCAGCCTACGGGCGCCTGGCAAACCTACGGATAGCGTTCCGATACCTCAGTAAGGATTCGTTCAAGACTCTATATACCATTTACGTCAGGCCCTACTGGAGTATACGGGCACCAGTTTGGAATCCACAACTAGTCAAGCACGTCAAAAAATTAGAGAAAGTGCAAAGGTTGCAAAAAAGACTAGTCCCAAGCTACGGGGGATTTCCTACGAAGAAAGGTTGAGGGAAATCGGGCCTACGACACTGGAGGACAGGGGGGTCAGGGGAGACATGATAAAAAACATATAAATACTGCGCGGAATAGACAAGGTGGACAAAGACGGGATGTTCCAGAAAAAGGGACACGGGAAACAAGAGGTCACAATTGGAATTGAAGACTCGATGAATAAAAGGGGATTTAGGAAGTATTTTCTTCAGTCATAGAGTTGTCAGGCCGTGGAATAGCCTAGAAAGGGACGTAGTGGAGGCGGGAACCATACACAGTTTTAAGGCGAGGTATGATAAAGCTCATGGAGCAGGGAGAGAGAGGACCTAGTAGCAATCAGCGAAGAGGCGTGGCCAGGAGCTATGACTCGACCCCTGCAACCACAAATAGGTGAGTACAAATAGGTGAGTACATCATGAACAACAATAAGCCATGTTCAACAAGCCATGTTCAACAAGCCATGTTCAACAAGCCATGTTCAACAAACCATGTTCAACAAGCCATGTTCAACAAGCCATGTTCAACAAGCCATGTTCAACAAGCCATGTTCAACAAGCCATGTTCAACAAGCCATGTTCAACAAGCCATGTTCAACAAGCCATGTTCAACAAACCATGTTCAACAAGCCATGTTCAACAAGCCATGTTCAACAAGCCATGTTCAACAAACCATGTTCAACAAATCATGTTCAACAAGCCATGTTCAACAAGCCATGTTCAACAAGCCATGTTCAACAACTAGCGATGTATAACAACAATCCATGTTCAACAGCAACAAGCCATGTACAGCAAACAAGCCATGTATAATAACAATCTATATTTAACAAAAGCCATGTTCAACAACAAGCCATGTTCGACAACAAGCCATGTTCGACAACAAGCCATGTCGGACAACAAGCCATTTCGACAACAAGCCATGTTCGACAACAAGCCATGTTCGACAACAAGCCATGTTCGACAACAAGCCATGTTCGACAACAAGCCATGTTCAACAGCAAGCCATGTTCGACATCAAGCCATGTTCAACATCATGTTCAACAGCAAACCATGTGCAACAACAAGGCATGTACAAGAAGCCATGTTAAACAAGCATGTGCAACAAGAAGCCATGTTCAACAAGACATGTACAGCAACAAGCCATGTTCAACAACAAGTCATGCACAACAAGCCATGTTCCACAACAAGCCATGTTCAACAAGCCATGTTCCACAACAAGCCATGTTCCACAACAAGCCATGTTCCACAACAAGCCATGTTCAACAAGCCATGTTCCACAACAAGCCATGTTCAACAAGCCATGTTCCACAACAGCCATTTCCACAAAACAAGCCATGTTCCACAAAAAGGGCCATGTTTCCACAACAAGCCATGTTCCACAACAAGCCATGTTCCACAACAAGCCATGTTCCACAACAAGCCATGTTCAACAACAAGCCATGTTCAACAACAAGCCATGTTCAACAAGCCATGTTCCACAACAAGCCATGTTCAACAAGCCATGTTCCACAACAAGCCATGTTCAACAAGCCATGTTCCACAACAAGCCATGTTCCACAACAAGCCATGTTCCACAACAAGCCATGTTCAACAACAAGTCATGCACAACAAGCCATGTTCAACAAGCCATGTTCCACAACAAGCCATGTTCCACAACAAGCCATGTTCCACAACAAGCCATGTTCCACAACAAGCCATGTTCAACAACAAGTCATGCACAACAAGCCATGTGCAACAAGAATCTATGTTCAACAAGCGATATACAACAAGCCATGTTCAGCAACAAGCCATGTGCAAAAACACTCATCTTTATAACTAGCCATGTACAACAAGCCATGTACAACAAGTCATGTACAACAAGCCATGTACAACAAGTCATGTACAACAAGTCATGTATAACAGCAAACCATGTTCAGCAACAAGCCATATACAACTAGCTATGAACAACAACAAGCTATTATTATTATTATTATTATTATTATTATTATTATTATTATTATTATTATTATTATTATTATTATTAAAGATTCGCCGGTATTCTCCCGGCCCGGGCCTTTTCCAAGTGGTGGCCCGGCCTTGGCTCCCTCTTTAGGGAGTGTCTGAGACCTAAGTCTCCCATGGGAGGAGGTACAAGTACCTC